TGGACTAGGCAAGCTCCTAGACCAGGCAAGCTCCTGGACCAGGCAAGCTCTTGGACCAGGCAAGCTCCTAGTCCAGGCAAGCTCCTTGACCAGGCAAGCTCCTGGACAACGCAAGCTCCTGGACCACGCAAGCTCTTGGACCAGGCACGCTCCTGGACCAGACAAGCTCTTGGACCAGGCAGGCTTCTGGACCAAGCAAGCTCTTGGCACAGGAACGCTCCTGGACCAGGCAAGCTTGTGGACCAGGCAAACTCGTGGACCAGGAACGCTCCTGGACCAGGCAAGCTCCTAGACCAGGCAAGCTCCTAGACCAGGCAAGCTGCTGGACTAGGCAAGCTCCTGGACCTGGCAAGCTCCTGGACCAGGCAAGCTCTTGGACCAGGCAAGCTCCTAGACCAAGCAAGCTCCTTGACCAGGCAAGCTCCTGGACCACGCAAGCTCCTGGACCACGCAAGCTCTTGGACCAGGCACGCTCCTGGACCAGGCAAGATCTTGGACCAGGCAGGCTTCTGGACCAAGCAAGCTCTTGGCAGAGGAACGCTCCTGGACGAGGCAAGCTTTTGGACTAGGCAAACTCGTGGACCAGGAACGCTCCTGGACCAGGCAAGCTCATAGACCAGGCAAGCTCCTAGACCAGGCAAGCTGCTGGACTAGGCAAGCTCCTGGACCAGGCAAGCTCCTAGACCAGGCAAGCTCTTGGACCAGGCAAGCTTCTGGACCAGGCAAGCTCCTTGACCAGGCAAGCTCCTGGACCACGCAAGCTCCTGGACCACGCAAGCTCTTGGACCAGGCAAGCTCCTGGACCAGGCAAGCTCCTGGACCAGGCAAGCTAATGGACCATGAAAGCTCGTGGACAAGGCAAGCTCCTGGACCAGGCACGCTCGTGGAACAGGCAAGCTCCTGGACCAGGCAAGCTTCTGGACCAGGCAAACTCGTGGACCAGGAACGCGCTTGGACCAAGCAAGCTCCTAGACAAGGCAAGCTCCTAGACCAGGCAAGCTGCTGGACTAGGCAAGCTCCTGGTCCAGGCAAGCTTCTGGACCAGGCAAGCTCTTGGACGAGGCAAGCTCCTGGACCAGGCAAGCTCCTTGACCAGGCAAGCTCCTGGACCACGCAAGCTCCTGGACCACGCAAGCTCTTGGACCAGGCACACTCCTGTACCAGGCAAGCTCTTGGACCAGGCAGGCTTCTGGACCAAGCAAGCTCTTGGAACAGAAGGCAAGCTCCTAGACCAGGCAAGCTCCTTGACCAGGCAAGCTCCTGGACCAGGATAGCTCGTGGACCAGGCAAGCTCCTGGACCAGGCACGCTCCTGGACCATGCAAGCTCCTAGACCAGGCAAGCTCCTGGACCAGGCAAGCTTCCGGACCAGGCACGCTCTTGGACTAGGCAAGCTCCTAGACCAGGCAAGCTCCTAGACTAGGCAAGCTCCTGGACCAGGCAAGCTCCTAGACCACACAAGCTCTTGGACCAGACAAGCTCTTGGACAAGGCAAGCTCGTGGACCAGGCAAGCTCCTAGACCAGGCAAGCTCCTCGACCACGCAAGCTCCTGGACCAGGCAAGCTCTTAACCCAGACACGCTCCTGGACCTGGCAAGCTCTTGAACCAGGCAGGCTTCTGGACCAAGCAAGCTCTTGGACCAGGCAAGCTCTAGGACCATGAAAGCTCCTGGACCAGGCAAGCTCATGGACCAGGCAAGCTCGTGGATCACGCACGCTCCTGGACCAGGCAAGCTGCTGGACCAGGCAAGCTCTTGGACCAGGCAAGCTCTTGGACCAGGAAAGCTCCTAGACCAGGCAAGCTCCTGGACCAGGCAAGCTAACGGACCAAGAAAGCTCCTGGACAAGGCAAGCTCCTGGACCAGGCACGCTCGTGGAACAAGCAAGCTCCTGGACCACGCAAGCTTCTGGACCAGGCAAACTCGTGGACTAGGAACGCTCCTGGACCAAGCAAGCTCCTAGACCAGGCAAGCTCCTAGACCAGGCAAGCTGCTGGACCAGGCAAACTCCTAGACCAAGCTCCACGAGCTTGCCTTGTCCAGGAGCTTTCATGGTCCGTTAGCTTGACTGGTCCAGGAGCTTGCCCGGTCCAGTAGCTTGTCTGGTCCAAGAGCTTGCGTGGTCGAGGAGCTTGCCTAGTCTAGGAGCTTGCCTGGTCCAGGAGCGTGCGTGGTACAGGAGCTTGCCAGGTCCAGGAGCTTGCAATGTCCAGGAGCTTGCCTGGTCCAGGAGCTTGCCTCGTCTAGGAACTTGCCTGGTCAAGGAGCGTGCCCGGTCCACGAGCTTGCTTGGTCCAGGAGCTTCCTTGGACCGGGAGTTTGCCTGGTCCAAGATATTGCCTGGTCCGGGAGCTTGCCTTGTCCAGAAGCTTGCGTGGTCCAGGAGCTTGCCAGGTCCAGGAGCTTGCTTGGTCTAGATGTCTGCCTGGTCCAAGAGCTTGCGTCATCCAGGAGCTTGCCTGGTCCAGGAGCTTGCTTGGTCCAGAAGCGTGCCTGGTCCAAGAGCTTGCCTGGTCCAGGAGCGTGCCTGGTCCAAGAGCTTGCATGGTCTAGGAGCTTGCCTCGTCCAGGAGCTTGCCTGGTCAAGGAGCGTGCTTGGTCCATGAGGTTGCCTGTTCCAGGAGCGTGCCTAGGCTAGGAGCGTGCCTGGTCCACGAGCGTGCCTGGTCCAGGAGCTTGCGTGGTCCAAGAGCTTGCCTGGTCCAAGAGCGTGCCTGGTCCAAGAGCTTGCCTGGTCCAGGAGTGTGCCTGGTCCACGAGTGTGCCTGGTCCAGGAGCTTGCTTGGTCCAGGAGCTTGCCTGGTCCAGGAGCCTGCCTGGTCCACGAGCTTGCCTGGTCCAGGAGCTTGCGTGGTCCAGGAGCTTGCTTGGTCCAGAAGCTTGCCTGGTCCAAGAGCTTGCCTGGTCCACGAGCTTGCCTAGTCAAGGAGCTTGCCTGGTCTAGCAGCTTGCCTGGTCCAGGAGCCTGCCTGGTCCACGAGCTTGCGTGTTCCACGAGCTTGCCCGGTCTAAGAGCTTGCGTGGTTTAGGAGCTTGCCTGGTCCAGGAGCTTGCCTGGTCCAGGAGCGTGCCTGGTCCATGAGCTTGCCTGGTCCAGGAGTTTGCCTGGTCCAGGACCTTGCCTGGTCTAGGAGCTTGCCTGGTCCAAGAGTGTGCCTGGTCAACGAGCGTTCCTGGTCCAGGAGCTTGCGTGGTCCATGAGCTTGGCTGGACCAGGATCTTGCCTGGTCCAGGAGCTTGCCTTGTCCAGCAGCTTGCCCGGTCATGAAGCCTACCTGGTCCAAGAGCTTGCCTGGTCCAAGAGCGTGCCTTGTCCAAGAGCTTGCGTGGTCCAGGAGCTTGCCTGGTCTAGGAGCTTGCCTGGTCCAGGAGCGTGCCTGGTCTAGGAGCTTGCCTGGTCAAGGAGCTTGCCTGGTCCACGAGCTTGCCCGGTCCACGAGCTTGCCTGGTCCAGGAGCTTGCCTGGTCCAGGAGCTTGCCTGGTCTAGGATCTTGCCTGGTCCAGGACTGTGCCTGGTCCACGAGCTTGCATGGTCCGGGAGCTTGGCTGGTCCAGGAGCTTGCCTGGTCCAAGAGCTTTTGTGGTTTAGGAGCATGCCCTGTCCAGGAGCTTGGCTGGTCCACGAGCATGGCTGGTCCACGAGCTTGCCTGGTCTAGGAGCTTGCCTGGTCCAGGACCTTGCCTGGTCTAGGAGCTTGCCTGGTCCAGGAGCGTGCCTGGTCGAGGAGCTTGCCTGATCTAGGAGCTTGCCTGGTCCAGGAGCTTGCCTCGTCCAAGATCTTGCCTGGTCTAGGAGCTTGCCAGGTCCAAGAGCGTTCGTGGTCCATGAGCTTGCCTGGTCTAGGAGCTTGCCTGGTCCAGGAGCTTGCCTCGTCCAAGATCTTGCCTGGTCCAGGAGCGTGCCTGGTCCACGAGTTTGCCTTGACCAGGAGCTTGCCTGGTCCAAGAGCTTGCCCGGTCTAGGAGCTTGCCGGGTCCAGGAGCGTGCCTGGTCCAGGAGCTTGCCTAGTCCAGGAGCTTGCCTGGTCCAAGAGCTTGCCTGGTCCAGGAGCTTTGCCTGGTCCAGGAGCTTGCCTTTTCCAGGAGCGTGCCTGGTCCAGGAGCCTGCCCTGTCCTGGAGCTTTCTTGGTCCGTTAGCTTGCAATGGACCAGGCAAGCTCCAGGATCAGGCAAGCTCCAGGACCAGGCAAGCTCCTGGACCAGGCAAGCTCCTAGACGAGGCAAGCTTATGGACTAGGCACTCTCCTGGACCAGACACATTCCAGGACCACGCACGCTCCTAGACGAGGCCAGGCAAGCTCCTTGACGAGGCAAGCTCTTGGACCAGGCAAGCTTGTGGACTAGGCAAGCTCTTGGACCAGGCAAGCTCTTGGACCAGGCAAGCTCCTTGACCAGGCACGCTCCTAGACGAGGCAAGCTCATGGACTAGGCACGCTCCTAGACAAGACACATTCCAAGACCAGGCACGCTCCAGGACCAGGCCAGCTCCTGGACCAGGCAAGCTCCTTGATGAGGCAAGCTCCTGGACCATGCAAGCTTGTGGACCCGGCATGCACCTGGACCTGACAAGCTCTTGCACCTGGCAAGGTCTTGGACCAGTGAAGCTCCAGGACAAGGCAAGCTCTTGGACCAGGCAAGCTCCTCGACCAAGGACGCTCCTGGACCAGACAAGCTCTAGGACGAGGCTAGCTCGTGGACCAGGCAAGCACCTGGACTAGGCACGCTCCTGGACCAGGCAAGCTCCTGGACCAGGCACGCTCCTGGACCAGGCAAGCTCCTGGACCAGGCAAGCTCATGGACCAGGCGCATTTTAGCTTCAGGCACGCTTTTGGACCAGGCCAGCTCCTGGACCAGGCAAGCTCCTTGACGAGGCAACCTCCTCGACCAGGCAAGCTCTTAGACTAGGCATGCTCCTGGACTAGGCAAGCTTGGACCGAGCAAGCTCTTGGACCAAGCAAGCTCCTGGACCAGGCAAGCTCTTGGACAAGGCAAGCTTTTGGATCAGGCAAGCTCCTTGTCCAAGCACGCTCCTGGACCAGGAAAGCTCCTGGACCAGGCAAGCTCTTCGACGAGGCAAGCTCCTGGACCAGGTAAGCTCCTCGACCACGCAAGCTCTTGGACGAGGCAAGCTCCTGGACCAGGCAAGCTCCTAGACAAGGCAAGCTCCTGGACCAGGCAAGCTCCTGGACCAAGCAAGCTCCTGGACCAGGCAAGCTCCTGGATCACGCAAGCCCATGGACCAGGCACGCTCGTCGACCAGGCAAGCTCCACGTCCACGTCCACATCCACATCCATGTCCACGTCCACGTCCATTTCCACGTCCACGTCCACATCCACGTCCATGTCCACGTCCACGTCCACGTCCACAACCATGTCCACGTCCACGTCCACGTCCACGTCCATGTCAACGTCCAAGTCCTCCACGTCCACGACCACGTCCACGTCCACGTCAACGTCCACGTCCACGACCACGTCTACGTCCACGTCCACGTCCATGTCCTCCACGTCCACGTCCACGTCCTCCACGTCCACATCCTCCACGTCCTCCACGTCCACCTCCTCCACGTCCACGTCCACGTCCACGTCCACGTCCATGTCCACGTCCACGTCCACCTCGACGTCCACGTCCACGTCCATGTCCACGTCCACGTCCACGTCCACGTCCACGACCATGTCCACGTCCACGTCCACGTCCACGTCCATGTCCACGTCCACGTTCACGCGTACGTCCACGACCATGTCCACGTCCACGTCCACGTCCACGTCCACGTCCACGTCCACGTCCTCGTCCTCGTCCATGTCCACGTCCACGTCCACGTCCACGTCCACGTCTACGTCCACGTCCATGTCCACGTCCACGTCCACGTCAACGTCCACGTCCACGTCCACGTCCATGTCCTCCACGTCCACGTCCACGTCCACGTGCACGTCCACGTCCAGGTCCAAGTCCAGGTCCATGTCCACGTCAACGTTTACGTCCACGTCCACGTCCAGGTCCACGTCCATGTCCACGTCCACGTCCACGTCTATGTCCACGTCCATGTCCACGTCCACGTCAACGTCCACGTCCACGTCCATGTCCTCCTCGTCCACGTCCACGTCCACGTCCACGTCCACGTCCTCGTCCTCGTCCACGTCCACGTCCACGTCCATGTCCTCCACGTCCAGTCCACGTCCAGGTCCACGTCCAGGTGCACGTCCACGTCCAGGTCCATGTCCAGGTCCACGTCCACGTCCACCTCCACGTGCACGTCCACGTCCAGGTCCACGTCCACGTCCACGTCCATGTCCACGTCCACGTCCACGTCCACATCCACGTCCACGTCCACGTCCACGTCCAGGTCCACGTCCACGTCCACGTCCACGTCCACGTCAACGTCCACGTCCACGTCCACGTCCATGTCCTCCACGTCCACGTCCATGTCCACGTCCACGTGCACGTCAACGTCCAGGTCCGGGTCCACGTCCACGTCCACGTCCACGTCCACGTCCATTTCTACGTCCACGTCCACGTCCACGTCCACGTCCATGTCCTCCACGTCCACGTCCACGTCCACGTCCACGTCCACGTCTACGTCCACGTCCATGTCCACGTCCACGTCCACGTCCACGTCAACGTCCACGTCCACGTCCACGTCCATGTCCTCCACGTCCACGTCCACGTGCACGTCCACGTCCAGGTCCAGGTCCAGGTCCATGTCCACGTCAACGTCCACGTCCACGTCCACGTCCACGTCCACGTCCATGTCCACGTCCACGTCCACGTCCATGTCCACGTCCATGTCCACGTCCACGTCAACGTCCACGTCCACGTCCATGTCCTCCTCGTCCACGTCCACGTCCACGTCCACGTCCTCGTCCTCGTCCACGTCCACGTCCACGTCCACGTCCATGTCCTCCACGTCCAGTCCACGTCCAGGTCCACGTCCAGGTGCACGTCCACGTCCAGGTCCATGTCCAGGTCCACGTCCACGTCCACCTCCACGTGCACGTCCACGTCCAGGTCCACGTCCACGTCCACGTCCATGTCCACGTCCACGTCCACGTCCACATCCACGTCCACGTCCACGTCCACGTCCAGGTCCACGTCCACGTCCACGTCCACGTCCACGTCAACGTCCACGTCCACGTCCACGTCCACGTCCTCCACGTCCACGTCCATGTCCACGTCCACGTGCACGTCAACGTCCAGGTCCAGGTCCACGTCCACGTCCACGTCCACGTCCACGTCCATTTCTACGTCCACGTCCACGTCCACGTCCACGTCCATGTCCTCCACGTCCACGTCCACGTCCTCGTCCACATCAATGTCCAGGTCCAGGTCCACGTCCACGTCCACATCCACGACCACGTCCACGACCACGTCCACGTCCACGTTCACGTCCACGTCCACGTCCACGTCCAAGTCCACGTCCTCGTCCTCGTCCACGTCCACGTCCAGGTCCACGTCTAGGTCCACGTCCACGTCCACGTCCACGTCCACGTCCACTTCTACGTCCACGTCCACGTCCACGTCCACGTCCATGTCCTCCACGTCCACGTCCACGTCCTCGTCCACGTCAACGTCCAGGTCCAGGTCCACGTCCACGTCCACGTCCACGACCACGTCCACGACCACGTCCACGTCCACGTTCACGACCACGTCCACGTCCACGTTCACGTCCACGTCCACGTCCTCGTCCACGTCGACGTCCACGTCCACGTCCACGTCCACGTGCACGTCCATGTCCACGTCCACGTCCACGTCCACGTCCTCCACGTCCACGTCCACGTCCACGTCCTCCACGTCCACGTCGTCCTCCACGTCCCCGTCCACGTCCACCTCCACGTCCACGTCCACCTCCACGTCCACGTCCACCTCCACGTGCACGTCCACGTCCAGGTCCACGTCCACGTCCACGTCCATGTCCACGTCCACGTCCACGTCCACGTCTACGTCCACGTCCAGGTCCACGTCCACGTCCACGTCCACGTCCACGTCAACGTCCACGTCCACGTCCACGTCCATGTCCTCCACGTCCACGTCCATGTCCACGTCCACGTGCCTGTCAACGTCCAGGTCCAGGTCCAGGTCCACGTCCACGTCCACGTCCACGTCCATTTCTACGTCCACGTCCACGTCCACGTCCACGTCCATGTCCTCCACGTCCATGTCCACGTCCTCGTCCACGTCAACGTCCAGGTCCAGGTCCACGTCCACGTCCACATCCACGACCACGTCCACGACCACGTCCACGTCCACGTTCACGTCCACGTCCACGTCCACGTCCACGTCCTCGTCCTCGTCCACGTCCACGTCCAGGTCCACGTCCAGGTCCACGTCCACGTCCACGTCCACGTCCACGTCCACTTCTACGTCCACGTCCACGTCCACGTCCACGTCCATGTCCTCCACGTCCACGTCCACGTCCTCTTCCACGTCAACGTCCAGGTCCAGGTCCACGTCCACGTCCATGTCCACGACCACGTCCACGACCACGTCCACGTCCACGTTCACGACCACGTCCACGTCCACGTTCACGTCCACGTCCACGTCCTCGTCCACGTCCACGTCCACGTCCACGTCCACGTCCACGTGCACGTCCATGTCCACGTCCACGTCCACGTCCACGTCCTCCACGTCCACGTCCACGTCCACGTCCTCCACGTCCACGTCGTCCTCCACGTCCCCGTCCACGTCCACCTCCACGTCCACGTCCACCTCCACGTCCACGTCCACGTCCACGTCCACGTCCACGTCCACGTCCACGTCCACGTCAACGTCCACGTCCACGTCCACGTCCAGGTCCACGTCCACGTCCCCGTCCACGTCCACGTCCGCGTCCACGTCCGCGTCCCCGTCCACGTCCGAGTCCGCGTCCGCGTCCACGTCCGCGTCCTCGTCCACGTCCGCGTCCGCGTCCACGTCCGCGGCCACGTCCGCATCCTCGTCCACGTCCGCGTCCTCGTCCACGTCCGCGTCCTCGTCCACGTCCACGTCCGCGTCCACGTCCGCGGCCACGTCCACGTCCACGTCCGCGTCCGCGTCCACGTCCACGTCCACGTCCAGGTGGTCCACGTCCACGTCCACGTCCACGTCCACGTCCAGGTCCACGTCCGCGTCCGCGTCCACGTCCACGTCCACGTCCAGGTCGTCCACGTCCACGTCCACGTTTGTCCTCCACGACCACGTCCACGTCCACATCCATGTCCACGTCCACGTCCACGTCCACGTCCACGTCCACGTCCAGGTCCACGTCCACGTCCACGTCCACGTCCACGTCCTCGTCCTCGTCCTCCACGTCCACGTCCACGTCCTCCACGTCCACGTCCACGTCCTCCACGTCCACGTCCTCCACGTCCACGTCCATGTCCACGACCACGTCCACGTCCATGTCCACGTCCACGTCCACGACCACGTCCACGTCCACGTTCACGTCCACGTCCACGTCCACGTCCACGTCCATGTCCACGTGCACGTGCACGCCGACGTCCACGTCCACGTCCACGTCCATTTCTACGTCCACGTCCACGTCCACGTCCATGTCCATGTCCACGTCCACGTCCACGTCTACGTCCACGTCCATGTCCAAGTCCACGTCCACGTCCACGTCGACGTCGACGTCCACGTCCACGTCCACGTCCACGTCCAAGTCGAAGTCCACGTCCACGTCCACGTCCACGTCTACGTCCATGTCCGTCCATGTCCACGTCCACGTCCACGTCCACGTCCACGTCCACGTCCACGTCCACGTCCATGTCCTACACGTCCACGTCCACGTCCTCGTCCTCGTCCACGTCCACGTCCACGTCCACGTCCATGTCCTACACGTCCACGTCCACGTCCATTTCTACGTCCACGTCCACGTCCACGTCCACGTCCTCGTCCTCCTCCACGTCCACGTCCAAGTCCACGTCCACGTCCACGTCCATGTCCTCCACGTCCACGTCCACGTCCACGTCAACGTCCACGTCCACGTCCACCTCCACGTCCACGTCCACGTCCACGTCTACGTCCATTTCTACGTCCACGTCAACGTCCACGTTTACGTCCACGTCCACGTCCATGTCCTCCACGTCCACGTCCACGTCAACGTCCAGGTCCACGTCCACGTCCACGTCCACGTCCACGTCCACGTCCACGTCCACGTCCACGTCCAGGTCCACGTCCACGTCTACGTCCACGTCCAGGTCCACGTCCACGTCCACGTCCACGTCCATGTCCACGTCCATGTCCACGTCCACGTCCACGTCCACGTTCACGCGTACGTCCATGTCCACGTCCACGTCCACGTCCACGTCCACGTCCACGTCCTCGTCCTCGTCCACGTCCACGTCCACGTCCACGTCCACGTCCACGTCCACGTCCACGTCCACGTCCACGTCTACGTCCACCTCCACGTCCACGTCCATGTCCTCCACGTCCACGTCCACGTCCACGTGCACGTCCACGTCCAGGTCCAGGTCCAGGTCCATGTCCACGTCCACGTCCACGTCCACGTCCACGTCCAGGTCCACGTCCATGTCCACGTCCACGTCCACGTCCACGTCCACGTCAACGTCCATGTCCTCGTCCACGTCAACGTCCACGTCCACGTCCACGTCCTCCTCGTCCACGTCCACGTCCACGTCCACGTCCAGGTCCACGTCCACGTCAACGTCCAGGTCCAGGTCCACGTCCACGTCCACGTCCTCGTCCATGTCCACGTCCACGTCCACGTCCACGTCCACGTCCTCGTCCACGTCCTTGTCCACGTCCTCGTCCTCGTCCACGTCCACGTCCACGTCCACGTCCATAACCTACACGTCCACGTCCACGTCCATTTCTACGTCCACGTACACGTTCACGTCCACGTCCACGTCCACGTCTACGTCCACGTCCTCGTCCTCGTCCACGTCCACGTCCAGGTCCACGTCCAGGTCCACGTCCACGTCCACGTCCACGTCCACGTCCACTTCTACGTCCACGTCGACGTCCACGTCCACGTCCATGTCCTCCACGTCCACGTCCACGTCCTCTTCCACGTCAACGTCCAGGTCCAGGTCCACGTCCACGTCCACGTCCACGACCACGTCCACGACCACGTCCACGTCCACGTTCACGACCACGTCCACGTCCACGTTCACGTCCACGTCCACGTCCTCGTCCACGTCCACGTCCACGTCCACGTCCACGTGCACGTCCATGTCCACGTCCACGTCCACGTCCACGTCCTCCACGTCCACGTCCACGTCCACGTCCTCCACGTCCACGTCGTCCTCCACGTCCCCGTCCACGTCCACGTCCACGTCCACGTCCACCTCCACGTCCACGTCCACGTCCACGTCCACGTCCACGTCCACGTCCACGTCCACGTCCACATCAACGTCCACGTCCACGTCCACGTCCACGTCCACGTCCCCGTCCACGTCCATGTCCGCGTCGGTGTCCACGTCCGCGTCCCCGTCCACGTCCGCGTCCGCGTCCGCGTCCACGTCCGCGTCCTCGTCCACGTCCGCGTCCGCGTCCACGTCCGCGGCCACGTCCGCGTCCTCGTCCACGTCCGCGTCCTCGTCCACGTCCGCGTCCTCGTCCACGTCCACGTCCGCGTCCACGTCCGCGGCCACGTCCACGTCCGCGTCTGCGTCCACGTCCACGTCCACGTCCAGGTCGTCCACGTCCACGTCCACGTCCACGTCCACGTCCAGGTCCACGTCCGCGTCCGCGTCCACGTCCACGTCCAGGTCCAGGTCGTCCACGTCCACGTCCACGTCCACGTTTGTCCTCCACGACCACGTCCACGTCCACATCCATGTCCACATCCACGTCCACGTCCACGTCCACGTCCAGGTCCACGTCCACGTCCACGTCCACGTCCACGTCCTCGTCCTCCACGTCCACGTCCACGTCCTCCACGTCCACGTCCACGTCCTCCACGTCCACGTCCTCCACGTCCACGTCCATGTCCACGACCACGTCCACGTTCATGTCCACGTCCACGTCCACGACCACGTCCACGTCCACGTCCACGTTCACGTCCACGTCCACGTCCATGTCCACGTGCACGTGCACGCCGACGTCCACGTCCACGTCCACGTCCATTTCTACGTCCACGTCCACGTCCACGTCCATGTCCATGTCCACGTCCACGTCCACGTCTACGTCCACGTCCATGTCCAAGTCCACGTCGACGTCCACGTCCACGTCCACGTCCACGTCCAAGTCGAAGTCCACGTCCACGTCCACGTCCACGTCTACGTCCATGTCCGTCCATGTCCACGTCCACGTCCACGTCCACGTCCACGTCCACGTCCACGTCCATGTCCTACACGTCCACGTCCACGTCCTCGTCCTCGTCCACGTCCACGTCCACGTCCACGTCCATGTCCTACACGTCCACGTCCACGTCCATTTCTACGTCCACGTCCACGTCCACGTCCACGTCCACGTCCTCGTCCTCGTCCACGTCCACGTCCACGTCCACGTCCACGTCCACGTCCACGTCCATGTCCTCCACGTCCACGTCCACGTCCACGTCCACGTCAACGTCCACGTCCACGTCCACCTCCACCTCCACGTCCACGTCCACGTCTACGTCCATTTCTACGTCCACGTCAACGTCCACGTCCACGTCCACGTCCACGTCCATGTCCTCCACGTCCACGTCCACGTCAACGTCCAGGTCCACGTCCACGTCCACGTCCACGTCCACGTCCACGTCCACGTCCAGGTCCACGTCCACGTCCACGTCCACGTCCACGTCCAGGTCCACGTCCACGTCCACGTCCACGTCCACGTCCATGTCCACGTCCACGTCCACGTCCACGTCCACGTTCACGCGTACGTCCACGTCCACGTCCACGTCCACGTCCACGTCCACGTCCTCGTCCTCGTCCACGTCCACGTCCACGTCCACGTCCACGTCCACGTCCACGTCCATGTCCTCCACGTCCACGTCCACGTCCACGTGCACGTCCACGTCCAGGTCCAGGTCCAGGTCCATGTCCACGTCCACGTCCACGTCCACGTCCACGTCCAGGTCCACGTCCATGTCCACGTCCACGTCCACGTCCACGTCAACGTCCATGTCCACGTCAACGTCCACGTCCACGTCCACGTCCTCCTCGTCCACGTCCACGTCCACGTCCACGTCCACGTCCAGGTCCACGTCCACGTCAACGTCCAGGTCCAGGTCCACGTCCACGTCCACGTCCACGTCCTCGTCCATGTCCACGTCCACGTCCACGTCCACGTCCACGTCCATGTCCACGTCCACGTCCTCGTCCACGTCCTCGTCCACGTCCTCGTCCTCGTCCACGTCCACGTCCACGTCCACGTCCATGTCCTACACGTCCACGTCTACGTCCATTTCTACGTCCACGTCCACGTCCACGTCCTCGTCCTCGTCCACGTCCACGTCCACGTCCACGTCCATGTCCTCCACGTCCACGTCCACGTCCACGTCAACGTCCACGTCCACGTCCACCTCCACGTCCACGTCCACGTCCACGTCCATGCTACGTCCATTTCTACGTCCACGTCAACGTCCACGTCCACGTCCACGTCCATGTCCTCCACGTCCACGTCCACGTCAACGTCCAGGTCCACGTCCACGTCCACGTCCACGTCCATGTCCACGTCCACGTCCACGTCCAGGTCCACGTCCACGTCCACGTCCACGTCCACGTCCACGTCCACGTCCTTGTCCTCGTCCACGTCCACGTCCACGTCCACGTCCACGTCCTCGTCCTCGTCCACGTCCACGTCCACGTCCACGTCCATGTCCTCCTCGTCCACGTCCACGTCCACGTCCTCGTCCTCGTCCATGTCCACGTCCACGTCCATGTCCACATCCATGTCCTCCACGTCCACGTCCACGTCCACGTCCACGTCAACGTCCAGGTCCACATCCACGTCTACGTCCACGTCTACGTCCACGTCAAAGTCTATTTTTACGTCCACGTTTACGTCCACGTCCACGTCCACGTCCACGTCCATGTCCACGTCCACGTCCATGTCCACGTCCATGTCCACGTCCAGGTCCACGTCCACATCCACGTCCACGTCCACGTCCACGTCCACGTCCATTTCTATGTCCACGTCCACGTCCACGTCCACTTCCACGTCCACGTCCACGTCCATGTCCACGTCCACGTCCATGTCTACGTCCACGTCCATGTCCACGTCCAGGTCCACGTCCACGTCCACGTCCACGTCCATGTCCACGTCCACCTCCACGTCCACGTCCACGTCCACCTCCACGTCCACGTCCACGTCCACTTCCACGTCCACGTCCACGTCCACTTCCACCTCCACGTCCACGTCCACGTCCACCACCACGTCCACGTCCACGTCCATTTCTACGTCCACGTCCATTTCTACGTCCACGTCCATTTCTACATCCACGTCCACGTCCACGTCCACGTCCACGTCCATTTCGACGTCCACGTCCACGTCCACGTCCATTTCCACGTCCACGTCCACGTCCACGTCCTCGTCCACGTTCACGTCCACGTCCTCGTCCACGTCCACTTCGACGTCCACGTCCACGTCCACGTCCACGTCCATGTCCACGTCCACCTCCACGTCCACGTCCACGTCCACGTCCATTTCTACGTCCACGTCCACCTCCACGTCCAAGTCCACGTCTATGTCCCTGCCACGTCCACGTCCACGTCCATTTCTACGTCCACGTCCACGTCCACTTCCACGTCCACGTCCACGTCCATGTCCACGTCCACGTCCATGTCCACGTCAACGTCCATGTCCACGTCCACGTCCATGTCCATATCCACGTCCACGTCCATGTCCACGTCCACGTCCACGTCCACGTCCACGTCCACGTCCAGGTCCACGTCCACGTCCAGGTCCACGTCCACGTCCACTTTGACGTCCACGTCCACGTCCACGTCCACGTCCAGGTCCATGTCCACGTCCACGTCCACGTCCACGTCCACGTCCACGTCCATTTCTACGTCCACGTCCACGTCCACGTCCACGTCCACGTCCACGTCCACGTCCATTTCTACGTCCACGTCCACTTCCACGTCCACGTCCACGTCCACGTCCACATCCACGTCCACGTCCAGTTCTACGTCCACGTCTACGTCCACGTCCACGTCCACGTCCACGTCCACGTCCACGTCCATTTCTACGTCCACGTCCACTTCCACGTCCACGTCCACGTCCACGTCCACGCCCACGTCCACGTCCACGTCCACATCTACGTCCAGGTCCACGTCCAGGTCCAGGTCCACGTCCACGTCCACTTCGACGTCCACGTCCATGTCCACGTCCACGTCCACGTCCACTTCCACGTCCACGTCCACGTCCACGTCCATTTCTACGTCCACGTCCACGTCCACGTCCACTTCCATGTCCACGTCCACGTCCACGTCCATGTCCATGTCCACGTCCATGTCCATGTCCACGTCCACGTCCACGTCCATGTCCACGTCCACGTCCACGTCCATTTCTACGTCCACGTCCACGTCCACGTCCACGTCCACGTCCATTTCGACGTCCACGTCCACGTCCACGTCCAGGTCCACGTCCACGTCCACGTCCAGGTCCAGGTCCACGTCCATTTCTACGTCCACGTCCACGTCCACGTCCACGTCCACGTCCACGTCCATTTCGACGTCCACGTCCACGTCCAGGTCCATGTCCACGTCCACGTCCATGTCCATGTCCACGTCCATGTCCATGTCCACGTCCACGTCCACGTCCATGTCCACGTCCACGTCCATGTCTACGTCCAGGTCCACGTCCAGGTCCAGGTCCACGTCCACGTCCACTTCGACGTCCACGTCCACGTCCACGTCCACGTCCATGTCCACGTCCACGTCCACGTCCACGTCCATTTCTACGTCCACGTCCACGTCCACGTCCACGTCCATTTCCACGTCCACGTCCACGTCCACGTCCACGTCCACGTCCACGTCCACGTCCACGTCCACGTCCATTTCTACGTCCACGTCCACGTCCACGTCCACTTCCACGTCCACGTCCATGTCCACGTCCACGTCCACGTCCACGTCTATTTCTATGTCCACGTCCACGTCCACTTCCACGTCCACGTCCATGTCCACGTCCACGTCCACGTCCACGTCCACGTCCACGTCCACGTCCATGTCTACGTCCAGGTCCACGTCCAGGTCCAGGTCCACGTCCACGTCCAGTTCGACGTCCACGTCCACGTCCACGTCCACGTCCATGTCCACGTCCACGTCCACGTCCACGTCCACGTCCACGTCCATGTCCACGTCCACGTCCACGTCCATGTCCATGTCCACGTCCATGTTCATGTCCACGTCCACGTCCATGTTCATGTCCACGTCCACGTCCACGTCCATGTCCACGTCCACGTCCACGTCCATTTCTACGTCCACGTCCACGTCCACGTCCACGTCCACGTCCATTTCGACGTCCACGTCCACGTCCACGTCCATGTCCACGTCCACGTCCACGTCCACGTCCACCTCCACGTCCACGTCCACGTCCACGTCCACTTCCACGTCCACGTCCACGTCCACGTCCACCTCCACGTCCACTTCCACCTCCACGTCCACGTCCACGTCCACAACCACGTCCACGTCCACGTCCATTTCTACGTCCACGTCCATTTCTACGTCCACGTCCAGTTCTACGTCCACGTCCACGTCCACGTCCACGTCCACGTCCATTTCGACGTCCACGTCCACGTCCACGTCCATTTCCAAGCCACGTCCACGTCCACGTCCACGTCCACGTCCACGTCCATTTCTACGTCCACGTCCACGTCCACTTCCACGTCTAAGTCCACGTCCATTTCTACGTCCACGTCCATTTCTACGTCCACGTCCACGTCCACGTCCACGTCCACGTCCACGTCCACGTCCACGTCCATTTCGACGTCCACGTCCACGTCCACGTCCATTTCCACGTCCACGTCCATTTCAACGTCCACGTCCACGTCCACGTCCATTTCTACGTCCACGTCCACGTCCACTTCCACGTCCACGTCCACGTCCACGTCCACGTCCACGTCCATGTCCACGTCCACGTCCACGTCCACGTCCACGTTCACGCGTACGTCCACGTCCACGTCCACGTCCACGTCCACGTCCACGTCCTCGTCCTCGTCCACGTCCACGTCCACGTCCACGTCCACGTCCACGTCCACGTCCACGTCCATGTCCTCCACGTCCACGTCCACGTCCACGTGCACGTCCACGTCCAGGTCCAGGTCCAGGTCCATGTCCACGTCCACGTCCACGTCCACGTCCACGTCCAGGTCCACGTCCATGTCCACGTCCACGTCCACGTCCACGTCAACGTCCATGTCCACGTCAACGTCCACGTCCACGTCCACGTCCTCCTCGTCCACGTCCACGTCCACGTCCACGTCCACGTCCAGGTCCACGTCCACGTCAACGTCCAGGTCCAGGTCCACGTCCACGTCCACGTCCACGTCCTCGTCCATGTCCACGTCCACGTCCACGTCCACGTCCACGTCCACGTCCATGTCCACGTCCACGTCCTCGTCCACGTCCTCGTCCACGTCCTCGTCCTCGTCCACGTCCACGTCCACGTCCACGTCCATGTCCTACACGTCCACGTCCACGTCCATTTCTACGTCCACGTCCACGTCCACGTCCTCGTCCTCGTCCACGTCCACGTCCACGTCCACGTCCATGTCCTCCACGTCCACGTCCACGTCCACGTCAACGTCCACGTCCACGTCCACCTCCACGTCCACGTCCACGTCCACGTCCATGCTACGTCCATTTCTACGTCCACGTCAACGTCCACGTCCACGTCCACGTCCATGTCCTCCACGTCCACGTCCACGTCAACGTCCAGGTCCACGTCCACGTCCACGTCCACGTCCATGTCCACGTCCACGTCCACGTCCAGGTCCACGTCCACGTCCACGTCCACGTCCACGTCCACGTCCACGTCCTTGTCCTCGTCCACGTCCACGTCCACGTCCACGTCCACGTCCTCGTCCTCGTCCACGTCCACGTCCACGTCCACGTCCATGTCCTCCTCGTCCACGTCCACGTCCACGTCCTCGTCCTCGTCCATGTCCACGTCCACGTCCATGTCCACATCCATGTCCTCCACGTCCACGTCCACGTCCACGTCCACGTCAACGTCCAGGTCCACATCCACGTCTACGTCCACGTCTACGTCCACGTCAAAGTCTATTTTTACGTCCACGTTTACGTCCACGTCCACGTCCACGTCCACGTCCATGTCCACGTCCACGTCCATGTCCACGTCCATGTCCACGTCCAGGTCCACGTCCACATCCACGTCCACGTCCACGTCCACGTCCACGTCCATTTCTATGTCCACGTCCACGTCCACGTCCACTTCCACGTCCACGTCCACGTCCATGTCCACGTCCACGTCCATGTCTACGTCCACGTCCATGTCCACGTCCAGGTCCACGTCCACGTCCACGTCCACGTCCATGTCCACGTCCACCTCCACGTCCACGTCCACGTCCACCTCCACGTCCACGTCCACGTCCACTTCCACGTCCACGTCCACGTCCACTTCCACCTCCACGTCCACGTCCACGTCCACCACCACGTCCACGTCCACGTCCATTTCTACGTCCACGTCCATTTCTACGTCCACGTCCATTTCTACATCCACGTCCACGTCCACGTCCACGTCCACGTCCATTTCGACGTCCACGTCCACGTCCACGTCCATTTCCACGTCCACGTCCACGTCCACGTCCTCGTCCACGTTCACGTCCACGTCCTCGTCCACGTCCACTTCGACGTCCACGTCCACGTCCACGTCCACGTCCATGTCCACGTCCACCTCCACGTCCACGTCCACGTCCACGTCCATTTCTACGTCCACGTCCACCTCCACGTCCAAGTCCACGTCTATGTCCCTGCCACGTCCACGTCCACGTCCATTTCTACGTCCACGTCCACGTCCACTTCCACGTCCACGTCCACGTCCATGTCCACGTCCACGTCCATGTCCACGTCAACGTCCATGTCCACGTCCACGTCCATGTCCATATCCACGTCCACGTCCATGTCCACGTCCACGTCCACGTCTACGTCCACGTCCAGGTCCACGTCCACGTCCAGGTCCAGGTCCACGTCCACGTCCACTTTGACGTCCACGTCCACGTCCACGTCCAGGTCCATGTCCACGTCCACGTCCACGTCCACGTCCACGTCCACGTCCATTTCTACGTCCACGTCCACGTCCACGTCCATGTCCACGTCCACGTCCACGTCCACGTCCACGTCCATTTCTACGTCCACGTCCACTTCCACGTCCACGTCCACGTCCACGTCCACATCCACGTCCACGTCCAGTTCTACGTCCACGTCTACGTCCACGTCCACGTCCACGTCCACGTCCACGTCCACGTCCATTTCTACGTCCACGTCCACTTCCACGTCCACGTCCACGTCCACGTCCACGCCCACGTCCACGTCCACGTCCACATCTATGTCCAGGTCCACGTCCAGGTCCAGGTCCACGTCCACGTCCACTTCGACGTCCACGTCCATGTCCACGTCCACGTCCACGTCCACTTCCACGTCCACGTCCACGTCCACGTCCATTTCTACGTCCACGTCCACGTCCACGTCCACTTCCATGTCCACGTCCACGTCCACGTCCATGTCCATGTCCACGTCCATGTCCATGTCCACGTCCACGTCCACGTCCATGTCCACGTCCACGTCCACGTCCATTTCTACGTCCACGTCCACGTCCACGTCCACGTCCATTTCGACGTCCACGTCCACGTCCACGTCCAGGTCCACGTCCACGTCCACGTCCAGGTCCAGGTCCACGTCCATTTCTACGTCCACGTCCACGTCCACGTCCACGTCCACGTCCATTTCGACGTCCACGTCCACGTCCAGGTCCATGTCCACGTCCACGTCCATGTCCATGTCCACGTCCATGTCCATGTCCACGTCCACGTCCACGTCCATGTCCACGTCCACGTCCATGTCTACGTCCAGGTCCACGTCCAGGTCCAGGTCCACGTCCACGTCCACTTCGACGTCCACGTCCACGTCCACGTCCACGTCCATGTCCACGTCCACGTCCACGTCCACGTCCATTTCTACGTCCACGTCCACGTCCACGTCCACGTCCATTTCCACGTCCACGTCCACGTCCACGTCCACGTCCACGTCCACGTCCACGTCCACGTCCATTTCTACGTCCACGTCCACGTCCACGTCCACTTCCACGTCCACGTCCATGTCCACGTCCACGTCCACGTCCACGTCCATTTCTATGTCCACGTCCACGTCCACTTCCACGTCCACGTCCATGTCCACGTCCACGTCCACGTCCACGTCCACGTCCACGTCCATGTCTACGTCCAGGTCCACGTCCAGGTCCACGTCCACGTCCACGTCCAGTTCGACGTCCACGTCCACGTCCACGTCCACGTCCATGTCCACGTCCACGTCCACGTCCACGTCCACGTCCACGTCCATGTCCACGTCCACGTCCACGTCCATGTCCATGTCCACGTCCATGTTCATGTCCACGTCCACGTCCATGTTCATGTCCACGTCCACGTCCACGTCCATGTCCACGTCCACGTCCACGTCCATTTCTACGTCCACGTCCACGTCCACGTCCACGTCCACGTCCATGTCCATTTCGACGTCCACGTCCACGTCCACGTCCATGTCCACGTCCACGTCCACGTCCACGTCCACCTCCACGTCCACGTCCACGTCCACGTCCACTTCCACGTCCACGTCCACGTCCACGTCCACCTCCACGTCCACTTCCACCTCCACGTCCACGTCCACGTCCACAACCACGTCCACGTCCACGTCCATTTCTACGTCCACGTCCATTTCTACGTCCACGTCCAGTTCTACGTCCACGTCCACGTCCACGTCCACGTCCACGTCCATTTCGACGTCCACGTCCACGTCCACGTCCATTTCCAAGCCACGTCCACGTCCACGTCCACGTCCACGTCCACGTCCACGTCCACGTCCATTTCTACGTCCACGTCCACGTCCACTTCCACGTCTACGTCCACGTCCATTTCTACGTCCACGTCCATTTCTACGTCCACGTCCACGTCCACGTCCACGTCCACGTCCACGTCCACGTCCATTTCGACGTCCACGTCCACGTCCACGTCCATTTCCACGTCCACGTCCATTTCAACGTCCACGTCCACGTCCACGTCCATTTCTACGTCCACGTCCACGTCCACTTCCACGTCCACGTCCATGTCCACGTCCACGTCCACGTCCACGTCCACGTCCTTTTCTACGTCCACGTCCACGTCTACTTCCACGTCCACGTCCATGTCCACGTCCACGTCCACGTCCACGTCCATGTCTACGTCCAGGTCCACGTCCAGGTCCAGGTCCACGTCCACGTCCACTTCGACGTCCACGTCCACGTCCACGTCCACGTCCACGTCTATGTCCACGTCCACGTCCACGTCCACGTCCACGTCCATTTCTACGTCCACGTCCTCATCCACGTCCATGTCCACGTCCACGTCCACGTCCATGTCCATGTCCACGTCCATGTCCATGTCCACGTCCACGTCCACGTCCATGTCCACGTCCACGTCCATTTCTACGTCCACGTCCATTTCGACGTCCACGTCCACGTCCACGTCCATTTTCACGTCCACGTCCACGTCCACGTCCACGTCCACGTCCACGTCCATTTCTATGTCCACGTTCACGTCCACTTCCACGTCCACGTCCATGTCCACGTCCACGTCCACGTCCACGTCCATTTCTACGTCCACGTCCACTTCCACGTCCACGTCCATGTCCACGTCCACGTCCACGTCCACGTCCACGTCCATGTCTACATCCACGTCCACGTCCAGGTCCAGGTCCACGTCCACGTCCACTTCGACGTCCACGTCCACGTCCACGTCCACGTCCACGTCCACGTCCACGTCCATGTCCACGTCCACGTCCACGTCCACGTCCACGTCCACGTCCACGTCCATTTCTACGTCCACGTCCACGTCCACGTCCACGTCCATGTCAACGTCCACGTCCATGTCCATGTCCATGTCCATGTTCATGTCCACGTCCACGTCCACGTCCATGTCCACGTCCACGTCCACGTCCATTTCTACGTCCACGTCCACGTCCACGTCCAGGTCCACGTCCACGTCCACGTCCACGTCCATTTCGACGTCCACGTCCACGTCTACGTCCACGTCCACGTCCATTTCGACGTCCACGTCCACGTCCATTTCTATGTCCACGTCCACGTCCACTTCCACGTCCACGTCCATGTCCACGTCCACGTCCACGTCCACGTCCATTTCTACGTCCACGTCCACTTCCACGTCCACGTCCATGTCCACGTCCACGTCCACGTCCACGTCCACGTCCATGTCTACATCCACGTCCACGTCCAGGTCCAGGTCCACGTCCACGTCCACTTCGACGTCCACGTCCACGTCCACGTCCACGTCCACGTCCACGTCCACGTCCATGTCCACGTCCACGTCCACGTCCACGTCCACGTCCACGTCCACGTCCATTTCTACGTCCACGTCCACGTCCACGTCCACGTCCATGTCAACGTCCACGTCCATGTCCATGTCCATGTCCATGTTCATGTCCACGTCCACGTCCACGTCCATGTCCACGTCCACGTCCACGTCCATTTCTACGTCCACGTCCACGTCCACGTCCAGGTCCACGTCCACGTCCACGTCCACGTCCATTTCGACGTCCACGTCCACGTCTACGTCCAGGTCCACGTCCACGTCCACGTCCATGTCCACGTCCACCTCCACGTCCACGTCCACGTCTACCTCCACGTCCACGTCCACGTCCACGTCCACTTCCACGTCCACGTCCACGTCCACTTCCACCTCCACGTCCATGTCCACGTCCACAACCACGTCCACGTCCACGTCCATTTCTACATCCACGTCCATTTCTACGTCCACGTCCAGTTCTACGTCCACGTCCACGTCTACGTCCACGTCCACGTCCACGTCCATTTCGACGTCCACGTCCACGTCCACGTCCATTTCCACGTCCATGTCCACGTCCACGTCCACGTCCACGTCCACGTCCATTTCTACGTCCACGTCCACGTCCACTTCCACGTCTACGTCCACGTCCATTTCTACGTCCACGTCCATTTCTACGTCCACGTCCACGTCTACGTCCACGTCCACGTCCACGTCCATTTCGACGTCCACGTCCACGTCCACGTCCATTTCCACGTCCACGTCCATTTCGACGTCCACGTCCACGTCCACGTCCACGTCCACGTCCACGTCCACGTCCATTTCTACGTCCACGTCCACGTCCACTTCCACGTCCACGTCCATGTCCACGTCCACGTCCACGTCCACGTCCACGTCCATTTCTACGTCCACGTCCACGTCCACTTCCACGTCCACGTCCATGTCCACGTCCACGTCCACGTCCACGTCCACGTCCATGTCTACGTCCAGGTCCACGTCCAGGTCCAGGTCCACGTCCACGTCCACTTCGACGTCCACGTCCACGTCCACGTCCACGTCCACGTCCATGTCCACGTCCACGTCCACGTCCACGTCCACGTCCACGTCCACGTCCATTTCTACGTCCACGTCCACGTCCATGTCCACGTCCACGTCCACGTCCATGTCCATGTCCACGTCCATGTCCACGTCCATGTCCACGTCCATGTCCACGTCCATGTCCACGTCCATGTCCACGTCCATGTCCACGTCCATGTCCACGTCCACGTCCACGTCCATGTCCACGTCCACGTCCACGTCCATGTCCATGTCCACGTCCATTTCTACGTCCACGTCCATTTCGACGTCCACGTCCACGTCCACGTCCATTTTCACGTCCACGTCCACGTCCACGTCCACGTCCACGTCCACGTCCACGTCCATTTCTATGTCCACGTCCACGTCCACATCCACGTCCATGTCCATGTCCACGTCCACGTCCACGTCCACGTCCATTTCTACGTCCACGTCCACTTCCACGTCCACGTCCATGTCCACGTCCAAGTCCACGTCCACGTCCACGTCCATGTCTACATCCACGTCCTTGTCCAGGTCCAGGTCCACGTCCACGTCCACTTCGACGTCCACGTCCACGTCCACGTCCACGTCCACGTCCACGTCCACGTCCACGTCCATGTCCACGTCCACGTCCATGTCCACGTCCACGTCCATGTCCACGTCCACGTCCACATCTACGTCCATGTCCATGTCCACGTCCACGTCCACGTCCACGTCCATTTCTACGTCCACGTCCACTTCCACGTCCACGTCCATGTCCACGTCCAAGTCCACGTCCACGTCCACGTCCATGTCTACATCCACGTCCACGTCCAGGTCCAGGTCCACGTCCACGTCCACTTCGACGTCCACGTCCACGTCCACGTCCACGTCCACGTCCACGTCCACGTCCATGTCCACGTCCACGTCCATGTCCACGTCCACGTCCACGTCCATTTCTACGTCCACGTCCACGTCCACGTCCACGTCCATGTCCACGTCCACGTCCACGTCCATGTCCATGTCCATGTCCATGTTCATGTCCACGTCCACGTCCACGTCCATGTCCACGTCCACGTCCACGTCCATTTCTACGTCCACGTCCACGTCCACGTCCACGTCCAGGTCCACGTCCACGTCCACGTCTACGTCCACGTCCATTTCGACGTCCACGTCCACGTCCACGTCTACGTCCAGGTCCACGTCCACGTCCACGTCCATGTCCACGTCCACCTCCACGTCCACGTCCACGTCTACCTCCACGTCCACGTCCACGTCCACTTCCACGTCCACGTCCACGTCCACTTCCACCTCCACGTCCATGTCCACGTCCACAACCACGTCCACGTCCACGTCCATTTCTACATCCACGTCCATTTCTACGTCCACGTCCAGTTCTACGTCCACGTCCACGTCCAAGTCCACGTCCACGTCCACGTCCATTTCGACGTCCACGTCCACGTCCACGTCCATTTCCACGTCCACGTCCACGTCCACGTCCACGTCCACGTCCACGTCCATGTCCACGTCCACGTCCACGTCCACGTCCACGTCCACGTCCATGTCCACGTCCACGTCCACGTCCACGTCCACGTCCACGTCCATTTCTACGTCCACGTCCACGTCCACGTCCACGTCCATGTCAACGTCCACGTCCATGTCCATGTCCATGTCCATGTTCATGTCCACGTCCACGTCCACGTCCATGTCCACGTCCACGTCCACGTCCATTTCTACGTCCACAACCACGTCCACGTCCAGGTCCACGTCCACGTCCACGTCCACGTCCATTTCGACGTCCACGTCCACGTCTACGTCCAGGTCCACGTCCACGTCCATGTCCACGTCCACCTCCACGTCTACGTCCACGTCTACCTCCACGTCCACGTCCACGTCCACGTCCACTTCCACGTCCACGTCCACGTCCACTTCCACCTCCACGTCCATGTCCACGTCCACAACCACGTCCACGTCCACGTCCATTTCTACATCCACGTCCATTTCTACGTCCACGTCCAGTTCTACGTCCACGTCCACGTCTACGTCCACGTCCACGTCCACGTCCATTTCGACGTCCACGTCCACGTCCACGTCCATTTCCACGTCCATGTCCACGTCCACGTCCACGTCCACGTCCACGTCCATTTCTACGTCCACGTCCACGTCCACTTCCACGTCTACGTCCACGTCCATTTCTACGTCCACGTCCATTTCTACGTCCACGTCCACGTCCACGTCCACGTCCACGTCCATTTCGACGTCCACGTCCACGTCCACGTCCATTTCCACGTCCACGTCCATTTCAACGTCCACGTCCACGTCCACGTCCACGTCCACGTCCATGTCCATTTCTACGTCCACGTCCACGTCCACTTCCACGTCCACGTCCATGTCCACGTCCACGTCCACGTCCACGTCCACGTCCATTTCTACGTCCACGTCCACGTCCACTTCCACGTCCACGTCCATGTCCACGTCCACGTCCACGTCCACGTCCACGTCCATGTCTACGTCCAGGTCCACGTCCAGGTCCAGGTCCACGTCCACGTCCACTTCGACGTCCACGTCCACGTCCACGTCCACGTCCACGTCCATGTCCACGTCCACGTCCACGTCCACGTCCACGTCCACGTCCACGTCCATTTCTACGTCCACGTCCACGTCCATGTCCACGTCCATGTCCACGTCCATGTCCATGTCCACGTCCATGTCCACGTCCATGTCCACGTCCATGTCCACGTCCATGTCCACGTCCATGTCCACGTCCATATCCACCTCCATGTCCACGTCCACGTCCACGTCCATGTCCACGTCCACGTCCATGTCCATGTCCATGTCCACGTCCATTTCTACGTCCACGTCCATTTCGACGTCCACGTCCACGTCCACGTCCATTTTCACGTCCACGTCCACGTCCACGTCCACGTCCACGTCCACGTCCATGTCTACGTCCAGGTCCACGTCCAGGTCCAGGTCCACGTCCACGTCCACTTCGACGTCCACGTCCACGTCCACGTCCACGTCCACGTCCATGTCCACGTCCACGTCCACGTCCACGTCCACGTCCACGTCCACGTCCATTTCTACGTCCACGTCCACGTCCATGTCCACGTCCACGTCCACGTCCATGTCCATGTCCACGTCCATGTCCACGTCCATGTCCACGTCCATGTCCACGTCCATGTCCACGTCCATGTCCACGTCCATATCCACGTCCATGTCCACGTCCACGTCCACGTCCATGTCCACGTCCACGTCCACGTCCATGTCCATGTCCACGTCCATTTCTACGTCCACGTCCATTTCGACGTCCACGTCCACGTCCACGTCCATTTTCACGTCCACGTCCACGTCCACGTCCACGTCCACGTCCACGTCCATATCTATGTCCACGTCCACGTCCACATCCACGTCCATGTCCATGTCCACGTCCACGTCCACGTCCACGTCCATTTCTACGTCCACGTCCACTTCCACGTCCACGTCCATGTCCACGTCCAAGTCCACGTCCACGTCCAGGTCCAGGTCCACGTCCACGTCCACTTCGACATCCACGTCCACGTCCACGTCCACGTCCACGTCCACGTCCACGTCCACGTCCACGTCCACGTCCATGTCCACGTCCACGTCCATGTCCACGTCCACGTCCACGTCTATTTCTACGTCCACGTCCACGTCCACGTCCACGTCCATGTCCACGTCCACGTCCACGTCCATGTCCATGTCCATGTCCATGTTCATGTCCACGTCCACGTCCACGTCCATGTCCACGTCCACGTCCACGTCCATTTCTACGTCCACGTCCACGTCCACGTCCACGTCCAGGTCCACGTCCACGTCCACGTCCACGTCCATTTCGACGTCCACGTCCACGTCCACGTCTACGTCCAGGTCCACGTCCACGTCCACGTCCATGTCCACGTCCACCTCCACGTCCACGTCCACGTCTACCTCCACGTCCACGTCCACGTCCACTTCCACGTCCACGTCCACGTCCACTTCCACCTCCACGTCCATGTCCACGTCCACAACCACGTCCACGTCCACGTCCATTTCTACATCCACGTCCATTTCTACGTCCACGTCCAGTTCTACGTCCACGTCCACGTCCACGTCCACGTCCACGTCCACGTCCATTTCGACGTCCACGTCCACGTCCACGTCCATTTCCACGTCCACGTCCACGTCCACGTCCATGTCCACGTCCACGTCCATTTCTATGTCCACGTCCACGTCCACTTCCACGTCTACGTCCACGTCCATTTCTACGTCCACGTCCATTTCTACGTCCACGTCCACGTCCACGTCCACGTCCACGTCCATTTCGACGTCCACGTCCACGTCCACGTCCATTTCCACGTCCACGTCCATTTCAACGTCCACGTCCACGTCCACGTCCACGTCCACGTCCACGTCCATTTCTACGTCCACGTCCACGTCCACTTCCACGTCCACGTCCATGTCCACGTCCACGTCCACGTCCACGTCCACGTCCATTTCTACGTCCACGTCCACGTCCACTTCCACGTCCACGTCCATGTCCACGTCCACGTCCACGTCCACGTCCATGTCTACGTCCAGGTCCACGTCCAGGTCCAGGTCCACGTCCACGTCCACTTCGACGTCCACGTCCACGTCCACGTCCACGTCCACGTCCATGTCCACGTCCACGTCCACGTCTACGTCCACGTCCACGTCCATTTCTACGTCCACGTCCACGTCCACGTCCATGTCCACGTCCACGTCCACGTCCATGTCCATGTCCACGTCCATGTCCATGTCCACGTCCACGTCCATGTCCACGTCCACGTCCATTTCCATTTCGACGTCCACGTCCACGTCCACGTCCACGTCCATTTCCATGTCCACGTCCATGTCCACGTCCACGTCCACGTCCACGTCCATTTCTACGTCCACGTCCACGTCCACTTCCACGTCCATGTCCACGTCCACGTCCACGTCCATTTCCACGTCCACGTCCATGTCCACGTCCACGTCCACGTCCACGTCCACGTCCATTTCTACGTCCACGTCCACGTCCACTTCCACGTCCATGTCCACGTCCACGTCCACGTCCACGTCCATTTCTACGTCCACGTCCACGTCCACTTCCACGTCCACGTCCATGTCCACGTCCACGTCTACGTCCACGTCCACGTCCCCGTCCATGTCTACATCCACGTCCACGTCCAGGTCCAGGTCCACGTCCACGTCCACTTCGACGTCCACGTCCACGTCCACGTCCACGTCCATGTCCACGTCCACGTCCACGTCCACGTCCATTTCTACGTCCACGTCCACGTCCACGTCCACGTCCACGTCCATGTCCACGTCCACGTCCACGTCCACGTCCACGTCCACGTCCACGTCCATGTCCATGTCCACGTCCATGTCCACGTCCACGTCCACGTCCATGTCCATGTGTACGTCCACGTCCACGTCCACGTCCATGTCTACGTCCACGTCCACGTCCACGTCCACGTCCTTGTCCACGTCCATGTCCTCATCCATGTCCACGTCCAGGTCTACGTCCAGGTCCACGTCCACGTCCACGTCCACTTCCACGTCCACGTCCACGTCCACGTCCACGTCCACGTCCAGGTCCACGTCCAGGTCCACGTCCACGTCCATTTCTACGTCCACGTCCACGTCCACTTCCACGTCCACGTCCATGTCCACGTCCACGTCCACGTCCACGTCCATGTCTACATCCACGTCCACGTCCAGGTCCAGGTCCACGTCCACGTCCACTTCGACGTCCACGTCCACGTCCACGTCCACGTCTACGTCCACGTCCACGTCCACGTCCACGTCCACGTCCACGTCCATGTCCACGTCCACGTCCACGTCCACGTCCACGTCCACGTCCATTTCTACGTCCACGTCCACGTCCACGTCCACGTCCATGTCCATGTCCACGTCCATGTCCACGTCCACGTCCACGTCCATGTCCATGTGTACGTCCACGTCCACGTCCACGTCCATGTCTACGTCCACGTCCACGTCCACGTCCACGTCCATCTCCACGTCCATGTCCTCGTCCATGTCCACGTCCAGGTCCACGTCCAGGTCCACGTCCACGTCCACGTCCACTTCCACGTCCACGTCCACGTCCACGTCCACGACCACGTCCACGTCCACGTCCACGTCCTCCACGTCCTCGTCCACGTCCTCCACGTCCTCGTCCACGTCCTCCACGTCCACGTCGTCCACGTCCACGTCCACGACCACGTCCACGTCCATGTCCACGACCACGACCACGTCCATGTCCACGTCCACGTCCATGACCACGTCCACGTCCACGTCCACGACCATGACCACGTCCACGACCACGACCACGTCCACGTTCACGTCCACGTCCACGTCCACGTCCACAACCACGTCCACGTGCACGTCCAGGTCCACGTGCACGTGCACGTCCATTTGTACGTCCACGTCCATTTCTACGTCCACGTCCACGTCCACGTCCACGTCCACGTCCACATCCATGTCCACGTCCATGTCTACGTCCACGTCCACGTCTACGTCCACGTCCACGTCCACGTCCACGTCCACGTCCAATTCTACGTCCACGTCCACGTCCACGTCTACGTCCACGTCCATGTCCATGTCCACATCCATGTCCATGTCCACGTCCACGTCCATGTCCATGTGCACGTCCACGTCCACGTCCACGTCCATGTCCACGTCCACGTCCACGTCCACGTCCAAGTCCACGTCCATGTCTACGTCCTCGTCCAGGTCCACGTCCAGGTCCACGTCCAGGTCCACGTCCAGGTCCACGTCCACCTCCACGTCCACTTCCACGTCCACGTCCTCCACGTCCACGTCCATGTCCACGACCACGACCACGTCCATGTCCACGTCCACGTCCATGACCACGCCCACGTCCACGTCCACGTCCACGACCACGACCACGTCCACGTTCATGTCCACGTCCACGTCCATGTCCACGTCCACGTCCACGTTCACGTCCACGTCCACGTCCATGTCTACGTCCATTTCCATGTGCACGTCCACGTCCACGTCCACGTTCATTTCTACGTCCACGTCCACGTCCAAATCCACGTCCACGTCCATGTCCACGTCCATGTCCACGTCCACGTCCACGTCCACGTCCACGTCCATGTCCACGTCCACGTCCACGTCCATGTCCACGTCCACGTCCACGTCCACGTCCACGTCCACGTCCATTTCTACGTCCACGTCCACGTCCATTTCTACGTCCACGTCCATGTCCACGTCCACGTCCACGTCCACGTCCATGTCCACGTCCATGTCCACGTCCATGTCCACGTCCACGTCCACGTCCATGTCCACGTCTACGTCCATGTCCACGTCCACGTCCATGTCCACGTCCACGTCCACGTCCATGTCCACGTCCACGTCCACGTCCACGTCTATGTCCACGTCCACGTCTACGTCCATGTCCACGTCCACGTCCATGTCCATGTCCACGTCCAAGTCCACATCCATGTCCACGTCCATGTCCACGTCCACGTCCACGTCCACGTCCACGTCCACGTCCATGTCCACGTCCACGTCCACGTCCATGTCCACGTCCACGTCCACGTCCATGTCCACGTCCATGTCCACGTCCATGTTCACGTCCATGTCCACGTCCACGTCCACGTCCACGTCCACGTCCACGTCCACGACCACGTCCACGTCTACGTCCATGTCCACGTCCAAGTCCATGTCCACGTCCACGTCCACGTCTACGTCCATTTCTACGTCCACGTCCACGTCCATTTCCACGTCCACGTCCACGTCCATGTTCACGTCCACGTCCATGTCCACGTCCACGTCCACGTCCATGTCCACGTCCATGTCCACGTCCACGTCCACGTCCACGTCCACGTCCACGTCCACGTCCATGTCCACGTCCATGTCCACGTCCACGTCCACGTCCATGTCCACGTCCATGTCCACGTCCACGTCTACATCCACGTCCATGTCCACGTCCACGTCCATGTCCACATCCACGTCTACGTCCATTTCTACGTCCACGTCCACGTCCATTTCCACGTCCACGTCCACGTCCACGTCCATGTCCACGTCCACTGTCCACGTCCATGTCCACGTCCATGTCCACGTCCACGTCCACGTCCATGTACACGTCCACGTCCACGTCCACGTCCACGTCTACGTCCACGTCCATTTCTACGTCCACGTCCACGTCCACGTCCATTTCTTCGTCCACGTCCATGTCCACGTCCACGTCCATGTCCACGTCCACGTCTACGTCCACGTCCACGTCCACGTCCATGTCCACGTCCACGTCCATTTCTACGTCCACGTCCATGTCCACGTCTACGTCCACGTCCATGTCCACATCCACGTCCACGTCCATGTCCACGTCAACGTCCACGTCCACGTCTATGTCCACGTCCACGTCCACGTCCACGTCCATGTCCACGTCCTCGTCCACGTCTACGTCCAGGTCCACGTCCAGGTCCACGTCCACGTCCACGTCCAGGTCCACGTCCACGTCCATGTCCACGTCCACGTCCATGTCCACGTCCATGTCCACGTCCACGTCCACGTCCACGTCCACGTCCACGTCCACGTCCACGTCCATGTCCACGTCCAAGTCCACGTCCACGTCCGTGTCCACGTCCATGTCCACGTCTATGTCCACGTCCACGTCCACGTCCATGTCCACGTCTACGTCCATGTCTACGTCCACGTCCATGTCCACGTCCACGTCCACGTCCATGTCCACGTCCACGTCCACGTCCACGTCTATGTCCACGTCCACGTCCACGTCTACGTCCATGTCCACGTCTACGTCCATGTCCATGTCCACGTCCAAGTCCACGTCCATGTCCACGTCCATGTCCACGTCCACGTCCACGTCCACGTCCACGTCCACGTCCATGTCCACGTCCACGTCCACGTCCATGTCCACGTCCACGTCCACGTCCATGTCCACGTCCATGTCCACGTCCATGTTCACGTCCATGTCCACGTCCACGTCCACGTCCACGTCCACGTCCACGTCCACGACCACGACCACGTCCACGTCCACGTCCATGTCCACGTCCAAGTCCATGTCCACGTCCACGTCCACGTCTACGTCCATTTCTATGTCCACGTCCACGTCCATTTCCACGTCCATTTCTACGTCCATGTCCACGTCCACGTCCATGTCCACCTCCACGTCCACGTCCATGTCCACGTCCATGTCCACCTCCACGTCCATGTCCACGTCCACGTCCATGTCCACGTCCACGTCTACATCCACGTCCACGTCCACGTCCACGTCCATGTCCACATCCACGTCTACGTCCATTTCTACGTCCACGTCCACGTCCATTTCCACGTCCACGTCCACGTCCACGTCCATGTCCACGTCCACGTCCATGTCCACGTCCATGTCCACGTCCATGTACACGTCCACGTCCACGTCCATGTACACGTCCACGTCCACGTCCACGTCCACGTCCATTTCTACGTCCACGTCCACGTCCACGTCCATTTCTACGTCCACGTCCATGTCCACGTCCACGTCCATGTCCACGTCCACGTCCACGTCCACGTCCACGTCCACGTCCACGTCCACGTCCATGTCCACGTCCACGTCCATTTCTACGTCCACGTCCACGTCCACGTCCACGTCCACGTCCATGTCCACGTCCACGTCCAGGTCCACGTCCACGTCCACGTCCACGTCCACGTCCACGTCCACGTCCTCGTCCACGTCTACGTCCACGTCCACGTCCACGTCCACGTCCACGTCCACGTCCATGTCCACGTCCACGTCCACGTCCACGTCCAAGTCCACGTCCACGTCCACGTCCACGTCCACGTCCACGTCCATGTCCATGTCCACGTCCACGTCCACGTCCACGTCCACGTCCATGTCCACGTCCACGTCCATGTCCCCGTCCACGTCCACGTCCATGTCCACGTCCACGTCCACGTCCACGTCCACGTCTACGTCCACGTCCATGTCCACGTCCACGTCCATGTCCCCGTCCACGTCCACGTCCACGTCCACGTCCACGTCTACGTCCACGTCCATGTCCACGTCTACGTCCACGTCCATGTCCACGTCCACATCCATGTCCATTTCTACGTCCACGTCCACGTCCACGTCCATGTCCACGTCCACGTCCATGTCCACGTCCACGTCCACGTCCACGTCCATGTCCACGTCCACCTCCACGTCCACGTCCACGTCCACATCCACGTCCACGTCCACGTCCACGTCCACGTCCACGTCCATTTCTACGTCCACGTCCATGTCCACGTCCACGTCTACGTCCATGTCCACGTCCACCTCCACGTCCATTTCTACGTCCTTGTCCATGTCCACGTCCACCTCCACGTCCACGTCCACGTCCATGTCCATTTCCAGGTCCACGTCCACGTCCACGTCCACGTCCACGTCCAGGTCCACGTCCACGTCCACGTCCACGTCCACGTCCACGTCTACGTCCACGTCCATGTCCACGTCCACGTCCACGTCCATGTCCACGTCCACGTCCACGTCCACGTCCACGTCCATGTCCACGTCCACGTCCATGTCCACGTCCACGTCCATGTCCAGCGTAGGAAAATTTTCATGCCACAGCCTCTCGTTCAAGCTCCCATCCTCCAACCCCTTCAAGCTCCCCTTCTGCAGCGTAGGAAAATTTACATGACACAGCCTCTCGTGCCACGTCTCCTAGCCAGCCTCACCACTCCCAGATGAAGCCTTTTCCCATGCAGCTGTCGCATCCATACCAGCAAGCACCTCACCATGTGGCTTCTGTGACTGCTGCACCTTCTTGACTGCATCCAGGGCCCCATCAGTTGGTGCAGTCTCCTCTCCTCCCGTAGTTGCATTCGCCGTTGCTACTGCCGCTGCCGTTTCTGGAGGTTTCCCATTCCAAGGGATGATGGGCAGCTGCCACAGGTCCTTGATGTAGCTCTTCTCCTCCTCCAGATCCCACAACAACAGCTTCCCAAGCTTCGCACAGCAGCTGGTTGGGCCGAAGGTCACTTTTGTGAGAGTGTGACGGCTTATGCTGGCTTTGCTAGCTTGCTTGGACTTTATTATGCTATTAATAGCTTATGTTTTATTTATCATGCATATATATGCTTGATTTCCTAGGTTAGGTGCATTCCTATATGTTATTATAGTTATAGCACCGAACCGGGTTACGTGTACCGAACTCAAACCTTTTCGGTTCCCACCAAATTGCTTTTTACCGAGTTCGGGAAGGTTCTGTTTGTGACGCTTCGCGACCCTCAGAACATTCGCGTAACACCAGGGTTACCTGCCTTGTGTCGAGCCTATGTATATCCTCGCCTTGTACCCAAGTGAATCATTCAATAGAATTTCCTGAACCAGATCCTCACACTTGGTAATGAGAGCGTGTTTACGCCCGAGGTGTTTAACCGTTTAGTTCCGGCCTTTAAAAATCGTGGGGGCAACGACAAAAGCGCCAATATGGGTATGTTAAACCAGTTCTGCGCATTTTTTCTAAGTCCCCCTCGATCCAGTTTTTGAACACCCCTCAGATTTATTGGTGAAAAGGTTGGAATTTCGACTGTTGGATCTACTCGAATGTCAACGGCTCAGAGAGTTTCGCCCAAAAAAGCTGGAATTTGGAGCATCGGATCTGGTTTCTTCTCAACGGCCCAGATTGGACACGAATTTCGACTATGGGAGAATTACGCGACTACAAAATTCATTTTCGTCGCGCATCTTCCTGTAAATCGCCAAATGGAGGGAAATAGAGATAAATTTGTACGGAAAATCGCGGAGTTACGTGCCGAGCATAAGCAAATACGTGCACCGCTCCCACGACTCGAAAAACTCCTTGCAAAACTGTCGGTAGCCGCAGCAGCAGCAGCAGCAACGACAGCGACACTGACAATTGCATCTGCGACAATTGCAGCAGCTACAGTTAATCTCGATCCTAGCACGAAAGGGAGCGACGTTTGTCGAATGTAGCTATATTAGAAAATTTCTTCGAAGGCGTTGGATGCACGACCCTCAACCAAGACGCAATGCGCATACGGCTCGCAGCAACACTGTAACGAGGCCCAGCTCTAGAGTGGATCAACAACAGTATAGTCCAAGGCGAAGGGACGTGGGCGCAGTTTCGTGCAGCACTGATCAAATAGTTCGACGTGTTGAACAGTGGCTACTACGGAACACGACGCAACAAGCCAAATAGTGGCATGGGGCGATTGGCACCACCCACGACTACCAACCCGATGGAGAACGGCAAGGGCGATGTGGAGTAGCGGCTAGCAAAAAATGAGACGTGCGGATTTTGCGGCGCTACAGGACATCGTATCTTGGCGTGTTCGAAAACGAAGAAAAGACGCGCGGAGCTAAAGGGCAAGAATAGTGCAGCACCCGCGAAGTAGAAAACGGACAACGTGGCAACTTTGGAGAGGGCGAAAAAAGGAAAATAGGATGGCGCGAATTCAAAACGTCACGACTGGTCGGCACCAGGGGAAATCGCCGAGACATATGGAGACTCCGCGAAACAAGTCCCTGCACCGACTGGGAAACTCCAGCCGTACACCTCAACAAGTAAGAAAAATACTTCTCGTGGGTTTCAAGCCTTTATTAAGGGAGAGTCAGAAATTAATCCGGTACCGGATAATGTAGGGACCCTATTCCGGAGTGCTAATAAGGGTCGAGCGTTACGATGAGTTAATATTTTCTCCCATCAGCTCTGTTTAAAGGCTCCTTGTTCCCCACAGATGAAGTCTACACAGCTGCAAAGGCTTAGGGGAAGGTTCCATGCTCAGGAGAAGCTGTACCACCCTCGGATACATCCTTCTTACCCTATTCAGGTGATACGTGATATTGACACAGCAGCTTTGAGCGCAGGACCAAGGGATGATACATTTGATTTACCTATGATCCAATAAGCAACAACATCTACAGCTACTCGGAGCGGCAACCACCACTAGTACTCGAGGTGATCTGCAACGGGCAACGCCTCCAGGCCCTGGTGGACAGTGGAGCGTCCCACTCGGTGTGCGACCGCGGGACGTTGGAGAAAATTGGAGAGTTATCGGAGGAGACCCGATTTACAGCAACGATGGTGGACGGTACGAAGCTTCCCATCCAAGGCGAGTCAATACTGCAACTGCAAATAGGAGTGTTAAGGTGGAAGACGACGTTGCCAATCACGAACATCGAGAGATTAGATTTCGTCTAATGGCTGCTGGTGAGTCTTGATGTAGATCGGATTCACCGTCCCCTCTAGCTAGGACGTTTCCCATCCTTCTCTAGCCTTTCTCCTGTTGGTGTAAGGGCCTAATAAACTCAAGCTATTAAGACTTTATCAAACTTAAAACCTCTCCTCGGGGTCACCTCCAAAGGTCCTTGGGTGCCTGGTACAAGACCAGCCCCTATCCTCGGGTCCGAGTTTGTAGAGAGAGGGATCAAGAGGGACTTAGTCAAAACAGCAAGAGTACCTTGAACGTCGCGCAGCATATCGTGCAGACCGTCGATCGGATTAAGCTGAGAATTTCCTATATCGAAAATCACTCTAAGAGCTTTAAAATAAGCCAAGTTGCCTCGCGAAAAGTTCTGCCATTACGAAGTTATGGCTCGGACAGCGTTAGCCTAGCGTTGGAGTGCTAGCGTACTAGCGTTGACTCGGGTAGCATTCCGCCGTCGCACCGCGTAGAAGCGAAATTCCAGGAAGGGAGGAATTCGCTTGAATCAATTTCAATATATCCAGGTACAATTAGAGAAAGAATAAATAGTTCTAGCTAGCAAGGACCTTGGGAATAAACCTGGGAACAACCAAGGATGATCCCAAATAATTCCAAGCAACAGAACCAACCTGGCTGGACAGAACAGCAGGTGGTAGGTTGGTAAACAACCTCTGGTTCTGTTTTTCCAACCTGGGAAAACAACAACCAGGTTCAGGTCCTAAAAACAGAACCTGTTTTGTCTTTGCCCAACCAGCCAAATGCTGGTTCCGCTGGTTTCCCCTGGCCCTGTAGCATGCAGATACAGACAAACAACATCCGACCTTCACCTAAATTGTACCCCTATAGTGCCTGCCCTGCTACACTATAGTCAACCAAACAAAACAGTACAATTTCGAGTTGGATAGAACTGAATCTGCGCAATCAAGTAAGCCGAACCGCAAAGCTTCCATCTTGGGTTCCTTTGCGAGCTTGTCCTTTATGCTTGTACTGTTCATAGCGCGTACAATGTTATGCCGAAGCGCACAATGCGCGAGTACCTGCAAATGCTTCAAGCGAAAATTGCGAAAGCAAACAAACACACCAACATTCCATTCATACCCAAATGCATTCGCACACGCATACTCGTACAAACAGACGGCAGGATGTCGTGCAATGTGAATTTGCACCCAACACACTCGTCTTCAGCCTGCCGGCTGCATCCCCATCATTCCATACTAGTTCATGCTCATTCCACTCATGCGCACACAACGCCAATGAGGCTCATCTGCAAGCCTCTTGGTGAGGAAGTCTGCTGGTTGCTGGTGAGTCTTGATGTAGATCGAATTAACCGTCCCCCTCTTCACTTCCTTACGCGACCAGTGCCACTTGATACGCATGTGCTTGTTCATCCCATGAAGCAAAGCGTTCCTGGCCATCCCAAGAGCTCCCTTGCTATCACAAAACAGCGGCGTAGCAACCTTTTGCTCCTGGCCAATCTCCTCCAACAGCCTCCTCAGCCAATCACCTCCTTCACCCCATGGAACATCGCCATGTACTCTGATTCCACGGAAGAGAGTGCTGTCTCCGTCTGCTTCTTTGACCTCCAACTAACAGGTCCTCCTCCAACTACGCAGATGTATCCTCCCACTGATGAGGAATCTTCCTTCTCAGAGGCCCACGTAGCATCGGTAAAGCAAGTGAGAAAGAGCTTGCCTTCTCCAAGCCTCTCCCCCTTCTCTTTCAGCACCTCAACCCCTTTCTGCTTCACCTATGCAGATGCGGAGTACTGAACTCCAATGCTTTGGTGAGAGTTCAGATACTTCACTACACGCTCAGCTGCATCCACCTGCTCCTCTGATGGATTTTGCACCACCCTAGCCAGCTGCCCAACCGAGAAAGAGATGTCGGGCCTCGTGTGAACTGCTGCATACAAAAGGCTGCCCACCAAGGATTGAAATTGCTGCTGCTCCTCGGCTTCAACCCCTTCATCCTCTGCAGCTTCCACAAGCTTGAATTCTGTTGGCAGAGGAGTTGCAACCTTGCGCTCATTCTCGATTCCGTACTTCTCCCCAAGCTCCTTGATGAACTTCTCCTGGTGCAGCTTCAACCACCTGTGATCCAGATCCCTCTCCACGTGCATCCCGAGGTAGTACTTTACCTCCCCAAGGTTCTTGCACTTGAAGTTCTCCATCAGCTGCTGCTGCACCTTCTGGATCTCCTTCATGCTACTGCTAAAGAGAAGAATGTCGTCCACATAGACCAGAAACAGCACCAGCTTCTCCCCCTACCACTTGAGAAAGAGGCTCTCATCACAGCTGCTGGTCCTGAATCTCATCTCCTCTAAAACAGCTGCCAAATTCTTGTACCAGCAGCGTGGCGCATGCTTCAAGC